ATACGTTCCTACATTGCAAAAGATAAAGTTATAACAATTATTTCGTTAAAAACTCTAAGTGAAGATATCACATACTTTCAAAGCGATAATATGGCTAATTGCAAATTCCGCTAATGGGATTGAAGCCTTTTCGATCACCAGCTTTATTCTATAGAACAACCAAGAATGGTATAATCTGTTATACTTTAAATCCATGAAAAACGTTTTCATCCATTCGCCTAATTATCACAAATCTTAATTCAGTAACATACTGTAAACATAACAGCTTCTTTGTAAGCACATACCCATATTCAAAAATATACTGGCTTCAGCTGGACCACCTTTTCTTTGTAGTTGCATATTAATTGATTTGCGGGCTCGTAATTGTGTCTTCACAGTGACTTTTTTCTGCTGGAGTGTAATACATTTTAATGGTTTAATTTCTGAGTTGAGTATGGTAATATCGTCAACTACACAAGAAAGATCAGCCTTTTTCTTGACCCTGGTATAGCACGGTTCAGAATAAGTTTGTACTCCCTTAAGGGATTGAGGAAGAAGGGTTTAGTAATTGGGTAGAGAAATATGTAACAATGCTCTTCTTCCGTTATTTTTTCCATTGTTTTTGATGGAGACATTGATAAGCCATTATATCTATGTAATGTATCAAAGAAAGAACATTGAGCCACAAACTTGTAGATAATAAACAAAATATGATGAAACTTGTATACTTACAAATCATTGAAGGAGCATGCTACATCTCGACTTAGCTTCATTTTCCTACCAATCATATAAACATCTTCACTGATAAAATTGTTGCAAATTGCTTCATGAAGGGACGTTGAAATTTCTTTTGAAAGCGGAGAGTTTTTAATAGTATATGGGCTTGTTTTTATAACTTCTGCTCACTCTCGTTTTGTGAATATATTAGGGTATAGATTTGGCCATGTGAGAACAATGATTGAAGATAATGCTCTAAATGAAATGGTGAGAAAATTTTTTAATAAATCTTGATTTAATCGTTATAAATGTTATATTTTAGAATACCTACAGAAGTTCATAAATGTTTTTATAATCTAAACCTTCTCATTCCGCCTTCTTAAGTATATCTTTTTGGTAGGTCCGAAATCTGTCTGATACGTTAATATTATCGACCTTTCACTAAAAAAAAATAAGACTGAGATATGCAAAATATAAAAACAAAATCTAACACATGACATACTTTAATCGCTGGTTCACACTGTAATTCTCTTGAGATGTCATCAAGATTAAATTTTATCTCTTCATTGTTCTCGTCCTCAAGATCTTCGCTTGACTCAGCTATATTATCACTTTTGTCTTGTATGTTTACCCCTGAACCCAGTGATGTACATTTTTGATGTCCCAGAGATTTGTTGTCCCAGCTATATGTCCCAGCTATATGTCCCAACCTGTCTCACACTAAGTCCCAAATGTCCTATCTGTCCCATCTATGTCCCATCAGTGTCCCATCAATGTCTCATAACAACACTGCCTGAGCTAACGTACTCGTCAAACGAGACATCAAATGTTTTTGCCTGACCATATTACAAAAATGAAGCATTATCACGACAATCAATGAAGAACAATTAGTATTTACCTTCCTGTGGTCTGATGTAGAAATTGTATCAGAATAATCTAAACTATTTACCTTTCCTGCTTTTTTAGTATTAGTTTTTTGGAATTTATCGCTAGTTGTCAGCTCAGCATCAACGATTGCTTCTTATTGCAGGTTCATAGGAGAACATTTCTTGGTCTCTTTGTTTGAGGAATTTCAAATTCACAAGGAAGCTAATCCACAGAACATATAAATAGGTTTTTTTTATTCACAGAAATATTGGGACAGTGGCCTTACCTTTTCTACCTGCTTCAGTGGAGTTACATCAACTGTTGTTTCCATTTCATCTTCTCTGAGATGTTTCCCAGTTACATGACGATTATTGATATTATCAATAGTCATAGTATTACTGGTCGTAAGCACCTGCTGTTGTATCTAATCGAAGAAAAATGTTACTCAAGCTTTTGTCTTAAGAAGTTTTCAGGTTAGAAGGTAGAATCTCACCTGATTAAACTCGAATTTGAAATTGTATTATCGCTCATCATGGTCCAATCCTTAATAAACAAGAATGCAGAATTAACAGTGCTTGCAAGAAACAATATGTAATAAACATAAATATACAAGCAAAGAAAGCATTGAACGAAGAGTTCATAACTGTAGACTAAGAGTCACAGCTTGCACTCATTTAAGTGTCGAACGAAGAGTTCATCACTATAGACTAGGAGTTACAGCTTGCACTCTGAAAGAACTAAGAGTTCATAACTGTAGATTAAGAGTCACAGCTTTTCCGTAACTTGTTTAAATCACTATCTTATTAATAATAGAACATACCTTCCAGTTGTCAATTATTTTTTAGGCTTTCTTTTTATGCGTCGCGTCAAAACCAGATTCTGATCTCACCACCTTTTTGAGATCTTTCTTTATGTTGTCCAGTACTTTTTTACGCTCCTTTTGTATCGAATTGGCACGATAAAACTCTACAAGGTTTACGCAAGTCCAGTTTTCCGTGTTTTGTTTGTAAAAAGCTATGAGTATTGAGAGACCGTGGGGAGCTAGTATATATATATATATTATATAGTATCTCTCATCAGGTGATGTCGATCAATCAGCAGATGCACCTGCTATTCTGATATAATTTTTAGCCCTCACTATAAGGCAGTGTTCAGAAATGACATGGTCATTTAACCATTTAAATGATTTATGAAATCATTTGTCATTTGGTCATTTCAATCATTAGATTTTGATTGGCTAATATTTATTACATAAATAATCATGTGACTATAATTCAAAGAATAATGTATGTAATGTAGGCAAAAATTATAATGCTGGCAAAAATTACATTCAAATGATCAAGATCATTTGCCATTTGAGCATTAAAATGACATGTCATTTGTTATTTGAATCATTTGATCATTTCAAATTATTTACTGAATACTGCTATAAGGCATAAGCACACTGCCTTAAAAGTTATTACTGTATATGTTAAATAAGCGAAATATCTGATGCTATCAAAGAGAAAGTACATAGAACTTAGACCATTTAATGCGAGTCCCAGCATCACATTATTTTTTTGCTCTCTCTTTTAAAAAGTTTGACATTTAATTTTTTTATTACAAGCCAGATATGAGTAAACATAAAAATTTACATCTGAGAACATATAAAACACGCACACATATTTAAAAAATTCAAAGTGAAATTTTTATTATATCTTTGTAATATAATACATGAGAAAGGACCAGCCGGTTATATAAAAAAAATTGAAACTAATAAAGATATTAGAGTAGATCATGTTTAAAGGAAGGAATCACGCCAACCTCTAAGCCAAATATAACAGTTCCTTCTCACTACTCTGCATTATTATTTATACTACCACTAAATTCTTTACTATCTACCTATCTCATAATTGACATTACTATTCTAAACTTTAGATCCCCTTCGCCATAATAAAAATTTTTTACAGTTTCTTTTCTAATCTTTTTCTCAGTAAGTTGATGAATTTCACGTCTAACTGTTTTAAACGCATAATCTAAAGTTTCTCTTCTTCCTTATTCAAATCAAAAACTCGCTTAAAATGGTTTCTATTTCTTCAAGAGATGAATCAGATAATCGACTAGAAGAACATTTACTACTAGAAAAATGGTTGACCACACTCAGTTGATCAAAATTGATCTGAAGCCTTTAGGCAATTGCATAATATTGGATCATTTCATTTCAGAAAGCTTTAATAGAGATTTTGATCGAAGTGAATTCAGATGAAATATTGCCAAAATCATCAAAGCAAGCTTCTTCAATATTTTCGAGTCTTGTGGTCACATTATTGACTATCAATAAAATTTTCTACACCTTTCTAGTGAAGTTATTATCACATGTCTTATTTTTTTAGCTTTCGTGATAAGTTTATTATTAAGATCATTATTGATTCTGTCGAGCTTCACAATGAAAGTAGAATTAATATCATAAATACATGTATCAAATTTATCATTAAGTTCAGTAAAGATCTGGTTATAAAGTAACCTCTTTCCGATTTCTAGTATATTATTTAGTATACTAAGATCGATAAGAATTTTGATGATATATGCAAAAAGTTCATTAGAGATCCTTTGTTTTAGATTTCCATACATGGTGACAATTTCTATGAATATCGCTGAACTAATGAACAAAAAAATAACAAATAAAACCGAGTTGAACAAAATTAAACTGGACATGATTAGGCATAGTAATTTTATTAAGAGATCTTATTGGTGGATCAAGTTTTTTAGATATACTTTTTTTAATATGCAATCTCTTGCGTAAATGCATTAAGAAAAAGGTTTATTTTATACTGTATGCCTACTATACACGAAAAGAGAATTTAACCTGATTTAATAAAATTATATTACTTTATTATGTATATTTGTCATAATTACATTTTTCATAATTATATTTTTTCAGCTAAAGCAATATTAACGGCCTGGATTCTGTCTAATAATAACAAATGTTACTTCTTGAATTTGAAGCTTAACAATAATACTTAAATAAAATCTGACAAATTACGTTTTTATGACAACTTAATATAATACTAATGGAGCAATGCTGTGTCTCAAATTTTCTATTTCTTTCTAAGATCTCTTGCAAAACAGAAAATCGCATGTGACGCATCTTTGTTTGAGTTCAACCCCTATTTCAATTGTAATCACAAAAAAGGAATATAAAATGGAGTGGATCGAAATCTATAGATAATGAATCGCACATGTATCTACTAATTCCTATTCAAAAATGAATTAACGTGCTATTAACCATACACGCAATTTGAATGTGCTAAACGTTAGTAGGATAATAAAAAGTTACCATTTATCTGAGGATCTGTAAATCATTAATTCAAATCAGCACTATTTCCATTTTTGAATTTCTTTTAACAACACCCTGTCTTATGATCTGCATGTAAATCAGGATGTATTTTTTATTAGTAATTCAGAACTGCGTAATAAATGAGATAGAACATACCAGAACTTTGAAGAAAGTTTATTAGTATAGCAATACAAAAATAATTCTCTTGGCCGAGTTTATTAATAGATTGATCCTCTAAAATAATAATTACAGATGCCAGTAATATATTACTGCGCATAAAATATTCTGCAGATATAATTCATATAAACTAGTAATGTATTACTGCGTATTTCAGGTGATTGATTTCATATGACCGATCTAAGAATGGTCTAAGTCACAATCATGAACTTAAATTTATTGCTTGAAGTGAAGCAAGACAATATTCTGTTTTATTTTTATACCATTCGCCATGTAATCTGTAATTCTCATATTTTCTATCACAAATAGAACATGTTGAACTCTACAGTTGAGATGATGCAAAATTATAATTATCAATCCCTCTGAAACTATTTTAGAATTTTAAGTATAGGAAGTGCTCTAAAACAGATTTGATAATTGATTCTGGATCAGATTTGGCTTCAAAAGTGATAAGCCCTTCTTCTTCACATTGCTTGGAAAAAGATGATACTTTGTTTTCTGGCATCAAATTTATGACTTCTAATTCATGTACTTCTGGTAATTACCATGGCTCATTATCAATTTCTTTTTTATATCTTTTGTATAATTTAGAATGAATCTTATCTGTCAAAATATTTGATAATCCAGTTAATTTAGTATGCCAATCCAGATAATCAGCAGATAGTATTTTAACAGACTCAATCATTTTCCTTTTTATATGATTGCAAATAATTTAAATTCCTTTTTTCTCATATAGACCTATTCATTTGAAAAAAAAGATTAAAATTTCCAGATTATTGTAAAGCAATAAGACTATGCAACTATCTCAATTTCATGCTATTTACATTTAATAAAGTAAGATCCTACTTTATACCTACCTTCTATTTCTTCATTATCATGATCTAATTTGTATAATGAGCAGATATAGTCTCCACATGATGTTTCATCAGTAATCTCATAATAATCAAAATTTTCACTACTACATTCTCTATATAGATTAGGATATTAATTCAATATCTTGTTACGAAAATAGGTGCGGTCATGGACTAAACTCTCGAGTTGAGAAATAGGTGGTACTACTTTGGTATTAAAATTTTTCAGAGCAGATTCATTGGAAACCTGAGATTCAGTAGGCGCATCCGAACTGGTGATATGTAATAAGTCAGAATTTTTCTTATCATTTTGTGAACTCAGTTCACAAAGTTGTGTCTGCATATGAATGCTATAATCAAAGAGCATATTGTCTATAATATACTGGATATCTTCATACATCATTTTTGAGATAGAATCAGCGGAAAAAAAATGAATTCAATTTATTTTATCTATACTTATTGCATTAAAAAGTGTATAGAACTTCTTAGCCTGCTCGATTCTTTTCTGTAAAGTGCATCAGAAGTATCTGCAGGAAGCTGAGCTTTAACTTCTATATTTAGAATTCTACTGACCGTATTAGACTCTAGATTAACATATTGTTCAGATGCAATCTCACCTCGCCTCTAGATAAGAGTTTTCTCAAATTGACAGTAATAAAAGATAGCTTCTTAGGTTACATGATCAGCAAGGATTACGACATTACAAAGTTTTTTATACAAAAGAGAAAAGGTTAGAATTCCCATTTCTAGGGGATTAGTATCTCTAGTTTAGTTGGTAACAACTGAGCTCCTATTGTAGGTTACACTGCAATAGTCACAGGTTTAGGCCTCAGCTGAGGCATAAAACTAGATGATTTTCATAAGAATTTCATATGTAACTGAACACGTGAGCGTTTAGACTAATAAACGTTAGATACTGGTCAATCAATCCATCGATTAACGTTAATTATGCCTAAATACTGGGTTTGAAGAACAAGTGGATGCAAATGAAGCCAGGGATCGACAGAAACTTAGCCTTCACTGATAGGTCTGTAATGGATACTGTCT